GTATGGCATCTTGTCAGGAGATGGATTTCCTACTCTCCCTGCAGTGAATTCACTATGGCACAAGCACTTACTTCATCCTGCTGGTGCCAGAAGTCTTCACAAAATCTCAGTTTCCTGATCACGAGAAACATTAAAATGCCTTATGATTTGTGTTATGATATAAAAAAGGGCCTCACTCCAGTAAAGTTCCCTTGAATTTCAGGATAGTTGAGATGTGAAAAATAGAAAGATAACATCAAGGAAGAGCAGTAGAGGAATCATAGCAGGAATACAGGAGTGCAGGTATGTTAGTTCAAGTAGTGTTTGGGACTTGCACAGTTTTGTTTCTGTTTGCTCATAAGCAGAAGATACTGAATACTGTTGTAATGCAAGACTTTTTAAATTAAAGAAACCACAATTTAACTGCCTAAATGTGCCATATCTCAAGATATTAGATGCTGTGAATTTCCATAGGGCTTAGGTAACGTTAGGAACTCATGTATGATTTCAAAAGTGAGTTAAGGATTAAATGCACTTAAACATTTTTGACTTGTTTTCTATCATTTAACAATTAACTTAATCAGGAGAAATGTTTGTACTAGTTTACAAATGTGGTATTGCCTAAGAAAATACATGTACAGAGCACCATCTAGTGCAGGCTATCTCTAACATAAAAGCCTTTCTGCTCATATGTCACTTGTCTGTGTTTAGCTAATTTAATATGAACTATCATGTTGCAGAAATTGCCAGCCCAGCGGCTCTTGTGGCAATATAATTTTGCAATTACATGGAAGACCATGGATTGAAAATTACTTGGGACCTTTTGCAAGGACAACAAAACTGGATGCACTGAAATTCAGGTAGTCATTTGTGAGAACCATATACTTTTAAGAGGAATCTGCTCATCTTCCTGCCCACAGTGTTGGGTGATACATTCATTACAATAATTCAATCCAATTTGTTTATAAACTAGGTTGGACACTGATTCTCACAATAGATTTAGAGACCCAACTGCCATTTTAGGTGCCTTAAGTACACCATTTAGCTCCTCAGAGCTTTTGCTCAGCTTCTGCAGAACCTCAGAGCTAGCCAGGTTCCTTAAGCCAGGCATTCACAGGTATGCAAACCACAACTAACGGGCAAGATTAAAGATCTGACTGTCATTAAGATGGGAAGAAAAGAAGAAAGAAAGGAAGCTTAGATTGTATAGGAGACAGGTAAAAGAAACATATACACAGGTATTTACGAGTTGCTGAGGAAGGGCAGAAAACATTGAGCTACAGGGTTTTTTTTTGCAAAGACCGTATTTTGGTTGTTCTGCAAGCAAACAAACAAATGAATTTGGCCCCACGGTTGTTTAATCAATGTTTGGATATCAACATTATGTTTCTGATGCAATCTATTTAGCATTAGGGTAGGATTAAGAGGAACTGTCTTAGTTAACTGAAGATGTAGCAATGACAAGCTGGATTTCATCCTGCACTAAACAGAGGTTCAGATGGCCCTCAGATACTTGGAAAAGATGATTTTTGAATGAACACTATGTATTCAAAAAAACCTAATTAAGCATCAAAGAGCCACTATCACTATAAAGTTTTACACCCTCTTTGAACAAGCACTTTAACTAACAGAAAATAACTTTTCTCTCTCTGAGCATATATTGCGTACAGATTTTGGCTGAATGCTTGAAACCTTGCCGATTTCCCAATTCTCAGACCTGCTCTGAGAAAACAGCAAGCATATGCTCATATTCATTTCGAAGTACCTCCTGGTTTTGAATAGCTCTGTTTTTTGCTTTCTAAGTTGACCTCTTAATAGACAATTTAAAAAAAAAGACAGAAATAAGCAGGAATTTTTGAAAATTTAGATACAGAATACTTCCCTGGATACTTTTTCTGCTCTTTCTACCTCTTTCAAAACTGCCAAAGAGAACCTACTACTGAAGAAAAGGAAAAAGACGATATAAAAAGCTGCATTTTCATTCTTTTTGAGCTAATGAGGAGTAAACTAAAGGAACATGATAGGAATGTTCACAGACCTGGCAAGCAAGAAATACCTTTCTGGGTATTTCTTCCAAGCCTGTACTCTCTTTTCTAGTAGCTATTTAAACTTGCCTTTTGAAAATAAAGGGTTTGTTTCTTTGAGAACAATTATATGAATTACAACACTTTCACATGTTTTTCATGTGGCCAAAAAGATTTATTACACAAAGAAAGGCCATAGAAATATGGTGGGAATTAAATACTGTATTTGCATATTGCTAGCAATATGCTAGATGCTTTTCAGACAGCTAGGATATCAAAGTCCTTGTTCTGAAGAGCATTCAGTCCAAATAAACATCTAAATGCATTGTAAGATGTACAAAGAAAGATTTGATCCTCCTTCATTTTATGATTTCCAATAGAGAAAGGGAGTCAAATTTTACATCAGAATATGACAAAAGCATCCTAACTCAGCTGAGAGAGTTCATTAGTGCTCTCATAAGCAAAGAGGATGGATTTATGCTGCAGCAAAGAAAAAAATCACTACGGATTTTATAAGTACGATCTCTACATGTTAAGAGTCTTTTTTGTGTGCTAGAGATCCAACTTTGCTGTACTTAAATCCTCCATGTCTTTTATTTAAATTATGTGGAATATGATCTGTCTTGATACTCTCCAAACACATGAGCTAATCTTTCCATTTTCCTGTGAAAAACTAAGGGTGTTTTTACAATTTCTACATAATGTCATCCATGTTTTTGCAAAGAATTAAATCCTTCTCTTAGATTAGCAAAATAATTTGAAAATCATGATGGGAAATACTGTACTTACAACATCTTTTTAAACTACTCCAAAACGTCCATCCTATTATTAATGACCCATTCCTATAGACCTGCTCATAGAGTTATACAAGAATGCATTTTAAATTCTGTAATAAAATTGGATAAAAATACATATCAAATGTTCTGTTTTAATGTTGAATGCTGAATATAGATATATCTGTACATAAGTATATACATATATACATACACACACATAGGCTGGTATGCCTTCCTGTCAGATACAGAATTTAATTTGGTTTAACTGATTAAACAAGGTTCCAAATAAGCAGTTGTAGAGCTATCCATTGGCCCTCTCATGCAGCAGTACAGGGATGTGCTAAAGGCTAGAAATCTCTAGCAGAGTACCTATTGATACGTCAAGAAAAAGACTGGATTATCTAGAATACCTGCTATTACCACAAAAAGCACAGACCTCAAAACTTCTATACTGCAGCTTTTTATCAGCACCATTTTTACATGATAATGTCCTTTTCAGCTGCCTGAACCCCATTTTTTCTCTACTTAATTTGCTTTTTTTGTTTAGGTGTAATCTGATTTATCTTGTTGAGTGATACTGTTTCATATGAACTTCTCTTTTTTCCCCCAGTTGTTCTACACATCCTCCTTCTCTTATTCCATGCAATTCTTTCAAGGATTCTTGCCAAACTTTTGGGTTTGGAGGATGGAAATGGAAGAAAAAATGGCCATGCAGGGAGTTATCATTCAGCTCATCTGTATTCATATCAATGTAGTTATAAAATGACTGATAGATTGCCAAAAGTTAGGTTCAGTTACGTTAAGCTTGACTGAAACTGGCTGCCAGGGAGGGAGAGAGACTGGCAGTCCAATAACAAAAGCAAAATTATTTTAGGAAAGCAGGGAAATAAAAGTGCCCAAGTTTGCCTCAGATCCATGTGGTTTTTAAAATCTTCATTTGCATCTGCTCAGCAGAAATGGATTACATTTCGTCAGATAGCTTTCTAGAGAGTGTCCCTATCTTCTCCATGGCAGCATGCACTAATCACTGATTCTTGTTATTACTGGCTATTAGCGTCTATTGTGATGCTAGGCACAAAAGCCAGGGGTAGGCAGAGTCTCTCTTACGATTTTTCTTATACAAGAAAAACGTGGATCTGCAGCTTGAAAAGGAGAGAGCCCAGGGAGCCAAGACAAAGACATAGGAAAAGGAGAAGATAATAGGCTTAGAAGCAGAACCACTTTGAAGTGACTGAACACGGCATTCGAATTTGGAAAGTTGTGGAGACTAACAGATACATACAGAAAGTAAAGATTTAGAGAGTCAAGCACTATGAACCTCTACAATGCCAGATTTTAGTTGCACATAAAATACACTTCCCTCTACACATGCATTATGATAGTCTATGTTCAAAGCATAGCTCACATTAAAATTAGTTGCAGCTTTTGTTATTTAGGCTTTTGGCAAACTCCAAATGTCAATAAATTGAAGTCCAGGTTTTGTTACCAAATGTTACCAAAAAAAAGAAAGGCATAATGGTTACCGAGAAGAAGAATGGCATAATTACTGACCATCTGAAAATGTTAGATTGAAATGATGTGACCAGCCTTAGAAATGCTTCAGCAACAACGGACAATCCACTTCTGTATGCTGGATTCAACTGATTCTAGCCTGGTAGCATCCCTTCTCTTCCTTCAGTTCCCTGCGTCATTCTTTATGCTTTTTATGTATGCTATATACACAACACATGCAACAAATAAATCAGAGGAATTTACAGGCAAGTCACTTCTAAAGCCTTGAATCATTCCAAAGAAAGTATGTTCCATTCACTGAGAAAACCAGCCTTACTCTTGCATTTAAATAATTTTTGGTTGTAATACGTACAATTCATGTTCATCTTTGAGACAACACAGCGACAATACTGGTTTTTTAAAAGGTGAAGGATTTGTAGTTACTGCAGAAGCCAAAAATTCTCCATGTTGATGATGTCCTTATTTCTAGGTGAATGCCTGCCTTTTTAAAAAAATCCTGTACACGTATTAGCGCTACTATTTGTATCTACAGATTCATAGGCCAGATTGCCTTCTCATTTACATCTCATAAAACTACCGGCTGCAGAGGAATTATTCCAGATTTATATATGCTTCTCATATAGACGAGAAGCAAAAATCTGCCCATCTGTTTTAATTTGGATTGATTTGCTAGAAGATTAAGTAGATCTTAATCGTCTTAATAAAATACTTAAACAATATTAGGTTCAAAGTCTGCTGGTCTGACCTTCATGACAACGGATTTCAGAGAATACCACCACCCATGCCAAGTGTACCAAACAATCCCGTTGTCTGTCTTTGCAGTATAGGGGCCTTTGTAGTACAAACCGTTCAAGTTGGCAGAGTGACACCTGGTGGAAAAGCAAAGGAAAACATATATAAGGCCTCCCGTCGAAAAGTTGCAAGCGTTTGTAGATTCCGTCTGAGTCAAAAATTTCACCATGTTGGTAACAGCCCAGTTCGACAGCTGCAAAAATTTGCATTTGTGGACTTCAGTGCGCCTAAAAAATAACAGTTTAATTAGGGCACAGCTGCTCTTAGCTTCTTTGAACAAAAGTTCTTTTTGTTCTTTCCACACGTTCTCTGACATTACTAGCTCTCTGAGTTTTGCCTGCTAATCTGTTTCAGTGGAGAATTATTCCAGAGTTGTTCAGGTCATGTGTGGCAGCAGGGCATACACCAAGGAAAACTCTGCTGCTTTTTGTTGCTCCAGAGTAGCCCCTTGTAAGTTTTGCAGTTACCCCACATGGTGTTTCGTATCACAAAACCTGAATACCACCATCAGTTTGCCTATTCAGCTGTGGACTTCTATTTACAAATAGATTAAATCTGACAGCTAATTAAACATATGTATACCAATTCACTGGATCATCGGAGCTGGCATTTTATTTGACTCTACAAAGAACAATCTTTTTTTGGTTCTTTAACACACTGAAGCAGAAATGCTGTTACAGTTTATTAAATATAGTGGTTAAAACAAACAAACAAACAAACACAAGCCCTGGCAAAACCCAAAAGGCTTGAATAGGTACCAGCACAACCTTGATACTGATTTGGTTTCTACAAGAAAGAAGTTTAGATCCTTGTATGACCATATGGAGAGCAAAACAGTTGTTTCTTCTGCAGCACATTGTAATGAATCAGCTTGGTTTATCTGCCAATTCAATATTTTGTTATAAGTGGTGTTAATCTCTAGCTGTCGAACACCATGATGGATTTCAGAAGCAGACTTCAGAAAATACGCAAACAGAAAACAGTCCACATGAACCTTATGGATATTATTACTGGCAAATCTTAGTCTCTTTGGCTTTGCTTACACTTCATTAACAACAGTTTTTGAGAACTGAAATAAAAACTGTGATAAAAGCCTCATAGGAAAATTCTCATAAATATATGCTTATTCATTGCTTACAATTTTTAAGCTCAATTTTGGTAATGTGTTGGTTGAAAGCTTATAAACTGCAGATATCAAAAGTGACTTTGTTTTTGAGAATGATAAATTTGTATCAGAGCTGACATAATCTTTCTAGCCATACAAATTTTGCATTGAGCAGGCACTCTGTCTACTTTGAATCAAAACACAGATTTCATTAGAAGGATCATAATTGCTAAGAAGTATCTAGATCAACTGAACCCCTTCTTTTAGTTCCTTTGATGGAAGCAGGCAAAACATGATTTTGTCAACAGCAACATCAGCCAGTAACAACTCTTAACTAGTGCTGAGAGGCACTAATAGCAAAAATATACAGTATTCTGTAACCGACTGGATGCAGTCTGAAGTAACTGGACATGCTAAAGAAACAACTGGCATGTGATTACTGATATGATATTCTGAAGCAACATTCATTATTCACAAGTCAATAAACACCTTAAAATTAGCCTATGTTCCTCCTTTCTTTCTGATAGGCTATTTTTTAAAGTAAAAAACTACACTGCAATAGTTTCAAAAGTACAGTCAACTCTCAATTATCTGTGGACGTTTTATCTGAATTATATATTAACTGTATGACAGATGCAGAGAGATGGGAGCTGGTTCCCTGAAGAACTGTTTGAATTCTGCCTGGATTTACTGACTCCAGTACGGCCCCACATGCTGTCTCCAGGATGATTGGTGAGGCAGGAAACCTGAGTGAGATCTGTGGCCCCAACTTGATGCCTGGCAGATCCACTGTGATCATCCATGCATGGTGTAACTAAAACTGGGAGTGCTGGGTAGAGAATAAGCTCATGTCCAACTAGAATTGTTAGCTCTTCTTTTACCAGTTATGAACCTACTGATCTTTGCAATGCTCTGGATGCAGGAAAGCTTATGACCTGGGTGCAGTACCAGAGTGAACCCAGCACTGTAGATTTGCATCCAAGCTGAAAATCTCTCCTAGAGCTTTGCTTACAAAAGAATGCAGAGAGGCCATTTTCTGCCGAAGTCCAGGATAACAAGTGCTGAGCTGGAGCAAGACCAGTAGCTTTGAGCTAGATCTAAGCTACTTCCATGTGGCCTCACTTGTGTCACATCCCTTGGTATTCATATTCTCTGTGTGTTTCTGTATTTCATTAGTCCGGATAGCATAGACGTGTCTATAAAAAATTCCTTCATAGCTGGGAGCTCCTTTACAAACCAGCCAAGAGCACTAATTCCTTCTATGTTTGCTAATCTGTGCATGACAAATACGTGTTCTGAGTGCTTTCCTTTTTCTGCCAGTACTGTTCTTTTGGGTAGGATTTAAGGACACTGAAATTTTCTAGTATTTTGCAGTATTCAGTTTTATGTTAGGCTTAACATAAAACAGTCAGCAGCAAGGCAGTGTAATAACACTATTAGTAACTAATTTTCATTATCCAGATAGACTGTCACTTTAAGAGCATGAGCTATACAGCCATAATAGGAACTAGCCTGGTAGGAGTTAGCTATCTTTAGTAGTTACATAGCACCAACTACAAGGTATTAATAACTGTCAAGTTCTGCTGTACAGCTACTTTTGCAAAGGGGTCATTCCTTTGTGCAGACCAATCCAATATTAAAAAAAAAAAAGTTTTTAGAAGACCAAAAATGTATGCAGTTGACTAAAAGTGATCAGTGATTCACTCTTAATGAACTCCATGGCATGGTATCAGAATTTTATGCTACTTGAGGTCTAGATATTCCTCTAAATCCACAAAAGTTCTTATTTCATGGGAAAAGGATCTCCAACATAGTTGCCTTTCCCTTTTATATCTTAGCTTTCGTGAGAACTGCAAAAAAACTTTGTCTACATGTGATTTTTTTCCATGTCTCAAACATTCTGCTGACCCACTGTCCATGCAAATATATTAAAATGTGTTAAAATAAGTAATTAATTGTGAAACACTGAGTTAACAGCTACATCATATCAGCTAACCTAGTCACAGACTAGTTATGGAAACAGAATTTGGAAAATGAGGAGTTAAAAAACAGAAACAAAGGAAGACACAACAGAGAGAAACAATGGAATTGATCCAGCCTGGCAGTTCTTGCCAATTGAACTGAGATCACAGTGAGAGAGTAGTATGCTTCCCTGAGTTGTATTTTAAATCTCTCTATTACACAGCTAGATTGCATAGTTTCTCTTCATGGCTATATTTATCTAATTAATTAAGGGAAACAACATAGCTGCCTATACAGACAGTGCTAAGGCTACCAGTTTTATCTTTTCTTTTTGAATTGGTATTTTGTATGCAAGTAGGATTTAAAAATTCTTTTACTGAACCATATTTTAAAAAATCTTCTCTTAGTCCAGCCATGCTCACTGACAGAAACAGAGTGGATGCATTCCCATCTTGATATAGAAGGAATAACAAGTGTGAACTGAGGTGAAAAAAATGAGGCTTAATAACCTAGCACTAGCTTAACTTGTCAGATATTCTGTAGTACTGCCATATCTGGTCTAGTGCAACGCAGGAGAAATGCAAGAATGAAGTACAACAGGGATACACCTGCAAATTCTACATGACCTACTTGTGTAAAAAACAATTACCTTAAAGGGGCAGAATTATCTTCTCCTTGCTGTCTGATAACAACGACGACCAAAGCCTACGGCAAATACCTTTATCACAGACCAGCCTGAGCTATGAAGTGGGCGCTGTCCCTTCTAAGGTGAGTCTCAGTCTTACCAGCACTGAGATTTCTGGTAGGGGTTAAGGCAGATTGCAAATATAATAAACAATGCCAATCCTATCTTCTACTATATGTTATTATTGTATGAATACACATGAAGCAGAATAGTTGACAATACTGATATAAAATCAACATACCTGTTAAACCACCAGCCAGCCTTTTCCTCTTCAGCACAGTTCCCTTCATAGTTGTCATTGTCCCTGTCTCTAGTACTGAATTTCATTCCTTGATGATCAGCCCACCATTTTACTTCAGGGTGAAATCCACCAGTAAGGGAATCACCAGCTGTGCCAGAGTATTCACCACAGCTCATCTCGTAAGAATGCTAATGAAAAATGTGAAGAAAGGGGGAAAAAAAAGTAATCCAATATGTCTTTAACCTTTAGCATGTCAGAGAGTGAAACCACAGAGGAAACTAATCTGTTACATTTGCTACTACTTTTATGCTCAGAAATGTCATGCCACTTAAACACTGTGTACTAGATAATGAAGGGGTGTAAAGATGCTTACCAGGGGCAAAATTTGGCAATAACCTTATGTGTAAATGACACAACAAAAACAATATTAGAGTTAGTTTGCAGTATATATTAACAAATCAGAACATCATAAAATCATAGAATCATAGAATC